CTGCAGCAATTCAGGTGTAGATGAGTTTTGATGTGCCTTGATGGGCTTCTCCAATGTCTTATCAGGTCTTCAGTAAAGGCTCCTATGGTAACTTCACTCAGCTGTTCATTCTAATAAAGCTGCAGAATGATGTCTCTGAGATTCCTGTCACTTTCTCAAACCTATTGAGGAGCACAAAAGTGCACAGGGGATGCCCGAGTGTCATCAGATATGTCTCACATCTTTAAGAGGTGAATAACTTGGATGGTCAGCAAATTTAACATCACAATGATTGTTGTCCTATTGTGTATGTTCAGTTTTGAAAAATGTCTGAACTTCCTGCTGGCAAAGAATATTTCAATTTGTCAGCCCTGTGGCCTTGCAGATGTTCATGCTGCCCTCCTTTATCTTTCCACCTAAAGATCTACTTTGGGTCACAAACTGCCATTTCTTTAGTATTTGTCTGTAATAACTGCTGCCACTATCAATTAAATTCTCCAGATATTTTTCTTCCTGGTCTCCTGCAGCTTTAGTCTGAAACTTTCCATTTTCCTGTCCATGGACACCATCACAGCCTGAACAGAGTCCAATTTTCCATTAATGGACACAGCAGGCTTTTGAAATAAATCAGACGAAGGGTGGAGTCTGCAGCTCCGGATGCACCGTGTGAAAGAGTCAGCCAGACCCAACTCCCAGCACTGCACCAGCTTCTGTTTATCTTTGTGTTTGTTGAAATAATAAAAGGTGAACAAAAAGCGGAAAAAAAAAGGGAAAAAAAAATGCTTAAACAGCAGTAGCCAAGAGAAAAGCCCATAACAAGGAATAAAAGAGGAAATGGGATCTCATAGTTCCTAATCTATCTACATGATCCCTAATTTAAACTGTGATATCTGAAATGTTCCTTGGAGAGTACATCTGAATGCAATGCCTCCTATGTTCCACTGACTGGCAGAAGTCTGACTAGGCATGGTATTTCTCAGGTTTGAGGAAATGAAGGAGTCTATACTAGACAAAAAAAAATAAAAAATTCTTTCTTCTATGAGGATTGTTAACTTCATTCAACTCCATTCTGCACAGATATACAGGTTGCCCTGAAAGGGAGATGACAGTTTGCAGAGTTTTATATTCAGAAAACATAAATTAACCTCTCAGACTGTCATGGGAGATGACAGTGTTGGCTTTGTGTTCATTGTCATCTCTGCCCATGGAAATAGCCCAGATGTTGATGCCACCCACTCTCTGCTGCTCATTGGATGATCTTTCAAGATAGCTGGGAGAATGTTGTTCTAGAAGAAGGCATTAAATATTGAAGTTCTAACAACATACTGATGTTTGGAAATATACTGGACTTTGTCCACCTAAAATGTCTAAATCTATGCTAAGATGTTTTAAAATACCTGTGCTCTGTGAGGAGCAACAGTGCAGCCAGTTTGTGGGTTGCATCACAGGAGGTCAGAGCACAGACCAAGCCCTCTTTGAATAGCTCACTTTTGACTTGGAAGGCAGGAGGAAGGTTGCTAATGGTTGCATTTCAATCATGCTGTTCATTCAGCACCCTCTTAGTCCTCTCACAGGACTTGTGGGAGATGAGAGATCCATTTCTTAAGAAGAGATGATGGTGAAGATGATGAAGATGATGATGAGTGGGCAGTCATTGCTTCAACTCTTTCTTTAGGTGAACATGTGTTCAACATGCCTCGGTTCTCCCTTTTCCTCTAGGGATGCTCATGTGGACAATTGTGGTGATGGCCTCTTGCTTCCCTTTTTGTTGGTGCTGTGTTTCCTTTTAAAGGAAAGCTGAAAACCTGGCTTGCACAGCTTCTCCCCCAATAGTCATACTGACTGATAACTGCACTTGGAAGCTCTTGGAAGAGGATTGGTTTTCTTGCCTTTCCTTTATCCTTCTATTATCTTGCTTAACTAAATGCCAGAACTTGGTTAAGAATCTCAGCTGCTACTGAGGACCCCCCCACCACAGAGTTCCCATAAGGGAAAGATTTCAGTTTCAAGTTTGTCCTAGTTACAGGGGCTGAGACCAGTTTATTACTATGTGGGTATAACCAAAACTGTGTATTCTACACCCTCTATGTAATTTCTGATGGACTGTTAATAATGGATCATTTGCAGCAGCTGCCCAGAGCACACCTAATGACTGAGCTGTGATAACTCCCTTGGGGAGAGGAATTAGCACCTTCACATCCAGCCTGAAGGGTCACCTCTGCTAATGGGCCATACTGGACTGGCATAATAGGGAGCTGCAACACCTAGACCATCAAAGACTCCAAAAATATCCCATGAGTCACAGAGTTAAATCACCCTTTATGAAACTCCCTGCCCGGGGGGAGGTACTGGACATTCCCACCTGAACCTGAGCATATATAATCTTGGGGTTTTGGGACTTCTGGTACCAATTGTTGGATCAAGAGGAGGACCAGAACTCCCAACAGGACTGCCACTGCCACTCTCGACAGGACTGTGATCATTACCTCAACAGAACTGCCACCATCATCTGGACCAACAGGTTTTCCTTTCCTTTTACTTTGCACCCGGGGGGCCACGTGGTGCTCACCACAGGGGCCAACAAACACTGTTCTGTTCTTATCGCAGGGAGCTGGGTTATACATCTGTTTTTGTGGGTTAAAACCAGTTTTTCTCTGTATCGTTGCATCTATTGTAATTTATTTTTAGTAAATTGTAACTCTGACTTATAATCTTTCTAGAATTGGGTTCATTTCTCTCACCGGTTTACTTTTAAACCAGCACAAAGTGAGATGAGATACTGACATGAGTTTAACAAGTTACAAATTGGTCACCAATGAAATCTGACTGCAAACTAGAAGGTTTCTTCAGGTTTGAGGAATTAAGGCCTGGAGCATCTGTCTAAACAGTGTAGCAGAGGCAAGGGTCCTAGGATGTTTAAGGTGATGCTCAGCAAGATTACAGAAAGGGGTGTATGACAGACTAGTTCAATGTGTAGAAAGGGAAAATTATGATTGTAGCCAATATTTAGCTCTTGCTAAGCGGTGGAAGTGTTTGCTGCTCAAGTCAGCAGCAACTTCAGTAACTTCTCGGTTCACCCCTGCCTTGCTTTGAAGGTATGCAGGCCATTTTCCAGGATCACAGTTCCTGCTCTTTCCTAGTGTCACGGTGTAAGCATTGCTTCTCCTCTGTCATACTGTTGGTGTGAGTGTTTGCTGCTGGGGGCTGGGCAAGGTGTTTGGGTTTTTCTGTAGTGACTGAAAAGCTCTCCTCTGAACTCATCTGCACTTGCAGGCCCCAGGCTGAGGCAGGAGGTCTCTGGCCATATGGGCTCACAGTGAAGTTGGTGGGAAGGATTATGGTTTAGGATTTCAGAAAGGCCTTTTTGCTTTGCATACAACATTCTGTGAAGGGATGCACCTAATGTTCCTTTTTTCCTCCTTTTTCCCCCTCTTAATTACAGAGTTTACAATAAAAGATGAACAAATGAAGTTCCAATCTGCTTCCCACACTCCTTCCCTCCCTTCCCAAAGGTGCAACTTGGGACAGATTTCATTCTCAGCTAGTGATGTTGGCATTGTTACTGTGATTGCTCAGTCTCTCACCTCGCTAAACTACTTTTACCTTGTTTTGGTTTTGGTTTGGTTTTTTTTTAATGTTTACTGTGGGACCTGGTGCCAAAATCCTTTAGCGTCGTGGGAGGGTGTAATCGACTCTTAAAAAATTACTCCTCACTGCTTCCACAGAAGTGGAAGTTATGCTGTGAGCATATTTAAGAAGGCTGGAGCAATGACCTGAGGTTGTATAATCTAAATATATTACAAACTATCCCAAAGAAGCCCTTGCCTGTTAATAAGTAGTTTTGGAAAATGATTTGCTAAGTATTTTTCTTCTAAGTATGTGTGTATGTTCTGGGATCAGTGTAAATCATGCTAATGTTTGTATTGTTGCAAATACAATTTACAGTTGAGGGTCTCTGGAGTGATGGGTGAAGGTGGGGAGCCAAACCTTTTCCGTAACTTTATTAATGTGGAATGAAAATGCATAGTAAATGGGTGTTGTTTGGTGAGACCACCCAGATAGGTATTGGATTTAGGGGGCATCATAGGTGAAAAAACAGTTTGAATGCTAACAGGTGGTGCACAATTGGGTGTACATACACACAAATGTCCAAAACTGAACTTTCAACCTCTGAAGAGAAAGCAGTTTCTTGTGAACTACAACTGGTAGGTGGACCAGCTGTAAATTTGACTACCACTTGGACTAAACCAAAATGGCATATTCCAAATTCTCCTGTGCACCAAGGGTCATGACATAAGAACAATGCTGAGGAGTCTGCTTGTGCCTCATCCTTCTGCATACTGACAGTTTGGACTCAAAGAAGCTGGTCCTGACAACTCCAGGAGGAGAGGCTGGTGCCAAAAAGTAGGGCTTAAAATCCCAACAAACCCAAAACAATGAAGGTTAAGATCTGCCTGGAGGAAAGATCCTGAGGGCTGTGCAGGGAGCTGAATGCCAGGAGACAGCGAGGGCTGTTGGGCAATCCCACTACTGGCTCACTAATAAGCAGCTCTGTGTCCCAGAGGAAGACAAAACCAAAACCCTGTACACATACAGATGAGAGATGGAATAATTTTACATACTGGTGGAAAAAGTATGAGCTTTTCAAGTTTTTTTAAAACTTTTATTTATTTTTTTTAGAAAATGAATAAACTCTGCATGGTAGAGTGTACGGTATATAATTTCAAAACAGAACAAGTGATATGGAATGGATTATTTTCCAAAACTATTTAAGGTTGAACCTAAAATCATTTGTAAATCAACACTTGTTGCCATGTAAGACAAAGGAAAACAATCAACACATTTTTTGTTTGGTACAGATTTTCTCTACCACTTCAGCCTGAATTTTCCCAGGGTTGGGGAGAAACAGGGGGCAAATCCTGCCCATTGTCCTAATCATAATTGTACTGACCAAGCTTTGTGCTCTGAGATCTAGCATCATATGGCTTTATATACGTTCCTAAGTGAACAGTGCAACATCATCACCATCTTAAGTGTTTATTCCACATTCAAACTGTAACTGAACATCACTCTGAAACACTTTTCCACCCCCAAAACAACAATAACAATAATGAAAAGCAGAAAGTCTCCAGCAATAAGATTTCCTCCCAGAAATCTGTGTAAACTGTAGATCAGGGTTGGGTAGCAGCACAGAAGACAAAAGATGTGACAGCATGATTCAATAGCGTCTCTAAAGACTACTGTAAGACTGTCATTCTTTAGTCTGCATCTTGCAATCACAATTTTCTTTTTCCCTGCAATGCTATAAAGCAATATAAGAAAAAAAATGAGACTCAAAAGCAAAAGGTAGAAGCCTTTACAGAAAGGTAAAGCTTCTGCTTAACTTTGAGTAGTCGCTATTAGAAACAGATCTCTGCAATCAGAAACAAATCTTGAACATATATACATACAATTTCAGTGGAAGGGGATACAGCCAAGGATGGAAGCCCTCCTAGCAGACCCACAGACTGTTTTGGTTTGTAGGTCAACACTACACTGCCTTTTTGGTCTGAATAAACTGGCAGGACAGCTGTGTAGGCTCCAGGCATGCTCCAGGCTCTTGACTCCTCTGTTCCTTGGCTGTGTGGGGGCCAGGAGAAGGAGGAGGAGGAAGTAAGAGTGCTGTCAAGGGCCCCCCTCCCCTCACTTTGCAGCTGGCCAAGTGATGCGCGGGTTGCAGCGACATGGGGCATTACACTGGGAAGGTTTAAGTGTACACTTTTCTCTTTACCCCATCCTCCCCAATCCTGTTGGAATGTATCTATATCAGTAATCAGATAAGTATTAATAATAACTGTAAGCTAGCATAGTCACTCTCCCCTATAAAATGGGGGGAGAGCAACAGCATCAAACAAATTCCCATTTGTCCTGACATGTGCAACCTTTCCAGATCCTGTACAGCAATCACATACAGGTTTTTTTTTAATAATAGGATTTAAAGGAATCAAAGTTGGTAAAGAAACTGGATGTGTCCTGGCCTAACTGAAGGAAATAATAAAACTGATTTAAGTAAGAGCAAAAGAAAGTAAGCATTAGTGTGTTTACATCCTCTGGTATGTCCCACTTGTCTACGTTCTTCTCACAAGCCCTTTCTGTACTCTGAGCAAGCACTCTCAAACTAAGAGAAGTAAGGCTTCAGCTAAAATCTCACAGTTGAGATCATTATTTTATATAATTACCACAAATGTAATAATTTGATTTTAGTGGATCCATGTGGGGCATGTTAGGGCAAGGCTTGTTAAGTGAACCAGCACAGGAGAAGATTGGAGAGGGGTGTAATCCCACATGATAACAGCAATTGAACAATGTCTGTAAGCATGGCACTAGCTTAGTGTGTATGTAGCATGGGGAGCTTGGATGAAGCCCTCAAGTGTCCAGTCAGAACCAGGGAAGCTGCAAGAAGTTTTACTGTAAAACTCCAGTACTGAAATGTCTAAAGGAACTGTATCTCTAACTTTAATGGGCACAGATTTTAAGTTTTGCACAGTCAATTCTAATTAAAAACCCAAAACTTGAACAGCTGATGCCCCTGCTGTTGGAGCCTTAAGACACCTGTTATACTGCTGAGCCCTACTCTTTTTTTTTTTTTTTAATAAAACACTGTTTTAAGATAGAGCACAATAAATGTGCTTATTACGCACTCTAACATAGAGCACAGAAATACAACACTACAGAGTGCAAGTCTAACCATCTCCACAGTGGGAAAAGTGCGAAGGTTAAAAATATGCATGTGGCTTAACACAAGATATTTTTAAAAAACATGACATGGAAATCTTATACTAATGCTTCCATCTTTACCACAAACATGATTGAAAACTTAAGGTCAGTTGCTGATCCTTCTCTCGCAGTAGTAGTAGTAGTGTAATGCTTTCAAAGGTACAATATTGGAAAGATCAGAGAATAAAAAAACCAAGTGTCCAAAAATGATCCCATTTACCACTTTTCCAGTAGTTACGTTTTTCAAGAAGTAAATGTGTAAGGTCACCTTGATCTTCACCATCAGTAACGGATACACTTGGAAACAGCTAAGCCAACCACCTGGACTGAGATCAGTTTGGTGTCGCGCACACACACACACACAGATACACACACAAACACCCCACAGGAAAAAGTGCACTTTCAATTGCTGATACAAAAATAGATTGGCACATTCTTTTTGACACAGTGAAGATATCTTCTAAAAGCTTTTTCACTTCAAGAAGTCCTCTTGGAATTTGCAGCAGGTCTGTAGAAAAAGCGCTATGAGAATGCACTCAGTGGGCTTCCAGGGTTTGTGTGATGCATGGAGGCTGCCCTTCTAAATTTTGCCTACTTTATAGCTGTAGTTCCTACAGGTAGGGTCAGTCACCACTCAGTTTCAGCATGTGAACCATTTACCAACAGCTCAGTCTTCACTTGCTTTGAGAAAGCAATGATACGTAAATTTGTCAAAGCTGAGAGTCTTATGTTGATGCAGTGTTTCCTATATGTTGCCGGAAAAACTGTTTTGGGGGGAGAGAGAGAGTGAACTGTAAGGAGTCTGATTTTGCATTTCCAGTAGTAACTGTGGCTCAGGAGAGCCAAGTTGGAACAGTCAGTAGCCCCTTCCCCACAGGGCAGCCAGCGCTAGGAGTTCTGCACCAAGCGTCTGTAGTGAGGCATCACTTCGTGCTCAGGAAGGTGGAGAGCAAACTCCAAGGCCACCAGCACTGGGAACTCGAAGGCGATCAGCTCTCGCCTGTTCAGCCGGAACTTCTCTTCCAGTTTCTGCAACCACAGCCGAGGGAAAAAAATAAATTAAACAAAATTAATGAGGATTTGCCTTTCTAGTGCTTTTCAAAACATGCATGCTGCTGTCATTAAACTTCTGTCCTGATCGACTCGCATAGCTCTAGGTTTAGCAACTCCAAGCAGGGTGAACTGGATGTACTGATTCCTTACTGTGAAGGTGAACTCACAAAGCTCAGCCAGCCATGCTATTTCTGACACGTTTGTCATTTCACTCATTCCACTTCCAGAAGATACGTCTTCTAATGATCACAGTGATTACCACTGCAGGAACAGGAAACTCCTGGCTTCATGCAAACATTGAAATCACTTGTGTAATGGAAGGCATGCATCTTGTAACTGCCCACAAATTTCCTGCGTTGCTTGAAATCACCAATTTCCTTTTCAACGTTAGACTGTGCTACAACACCCTATTGGGGACATTATTTTTAGCCACAATTAAATACACTTGATCTTAATACCTCAGAGGCAGGAGGTGTCATCTGCAACAACCATAAGAACAGTGAGTAATAGAAACTACTATCCTCAAGGGGGATGAGATGGGTTTTATAGTGGGTTTTCTGCTGTAATGTACTAAACTTCCCATCTGCTCTGCTGTATTTGTTGGATTTGGATGCTACAAGTAGGCAACTAACTATTCAGGGATATTTCCACCCCTCATCCTCTTCTTATGATCTCTGTGGCTTGCTACTTCTCTGTCCACTGAGCCTACTCAGAAGCTCAACGTGTCTTATGGATGGACCAATGTTTCAGGATAGCAAGGGAAGCCACATTCTTCCAACTCCCACTGGCTTGGGGAGTTATTTTTTGGTGGTTATTCAGAGGACTTTCTTACAAGCTGATTGTTGACCCAGCTCTGTGACTGTGGGAGAATGGCACGAGTCCAGCCCTGTCCCTCATCCAAGTTCTCATGTATCTTCCATTAAGTGAGCTGGTTATGGCCACATACCCAGCTACCTGCCTAACTTTCTATAGCACTAAATCAGATCAGTATCTCAGTGCTTCCAAAGGATTATGGAATAACACTCCCCCCTGTTAACTCTTTCATACAGAGTAGGTGGAAGACCTACTCTACAAAAAAAAAACCACCTTACTTCACAAAAAGCAGCTGGAATGAGGTGTCCCAGTGGGAATACCTCTTTATGTTTTTTTGCCCAAAAGCTGAACGTGATGAAAGAAATACAGATGTCTACTAAACACCATCTGAAATTAGTTTACCTCTCAAAGGAGAGTCCTTATTGACACTCTTGAAAACATAATTAAAAGCAAAATGAATTTCCTGAGGGTTCACTTTTGACTTCTATTGACAGAACAGTGGTCAGATACCTCTCAGACCTCACAGAATCTGACACCAGGGCCTTCTATCACATCAAACAAGCTTCCCATGCCTCTGCAGTGACAATGATCACTACTACTGCCACAAAAACATGTAACAAAAAGTACATTTAGCTGGCCGTACATCTGGAAACCTAAAGGAGAGCAAGTCCACTGGCAAGCAGGCTTGCATAGACCACACCTGGCACTTCATGTAGAAGGAACATTGGAAACCTATGGATACGTACATCTATAAGATGCTTGACTTCATGTTTTCTGAGGTCACTGCCAATTTTAGCTGCTAAAAGAACACAAGCTCCAGCACAAAGCTTTCTATTCTGCTTGTTCAGCTTCCCCTTGAGAGCGAGCTTCTCAAAGTAGACAAAGGCCATGGCCACTGTGGGCTCTTCAAAACCACATTCTTCTTGAGCAAGCTTGCGCATTTCTCTCTTCAAGCTGAGTAAAGAGACCAGACAAGTATGATGTGAACTGAGTTTTAAAGCGTTTCTCATTTCACCCTGTCATCTTTTCAGAGATTCCTGCTTAGTCAAATGGAGGGGAAAATAATAATAATTCACTGGGTAGATATCTTTATGCTCTGTTTTGTGGGCTCATTTCATGGCACATTTTGATCTCACCATCTCACCCTTCCCCTCCACTAGAAAAGTAACTGAAAAGCTTTTACATTTTTAGTTACAATATTTCATCAGAGGTCTTATGCTGCATACAATTTGTTTAGTAACAACAGCTTTATTACTGGTGCTTTATATGCAGCTTTGCTGCTGGTTATGGTTGGTCAAATACAAACTGCCAGTCTTTCCATGTACTGCAGCACTGTCTGTTTACAGAGCAACATGGCTCAGTTTCCTTCTGGCCAGAAGGGTCAAAGGAAATTATCATTACTTCAGTGGAGCAGTGTGCCTACCCTGCTACACTGGAAACAGATGAAATATTACAACTTTGCTGTGAAGCTGTCCACTCGTTTTGCTTCTGACCATGCTTTCTCCACAAGGCATAAAAGTCAGCATTTCTCTTTCCTCAGTCTCTTTTAAGCTAAGTGCCATAAGCTTAGAGACTGTTGTGTTATTTTTCTGGGTATTTTAGTGTAGTGCATGCCCAGCTCTCATCTTCATCCCTTAGATTTCGCATTTGACACCTAACTGGTGTATGTTTGTACATTCCTCTATCCTGTTTACTCAGCCCACTGACCAAAGCAATCATCTGACTTACTCTGCACCTCTGCTGGTCACTGCTCCTGGAAGATCTATCAGTGCTCTGCTTCCCCTCATGTACAGCAGGAATTGCACTGAAATGTGAGACAGCTGCGTCACGTTGCAGCCTTATCGAGCTTTGCAACGTACCTTCTTATTTTACTGAGGGTTAGCTTGATGTGAGGGAACTTCTCCTTAAAGGTCTCATTCATGTCCTTCTTGAGATCTGATGGCTTCACGTAGTCTATGACTGTGGTCTGTAATACACGTCAAAAGAGAATTACTCTTTCAGTTTGTAAAAAACAAGATCACTCAGTTCCCAGAAGCAAGGAATACCAAATAAGTGCTAGTCAGTCCCGATGCTTTCAGGAGATAGGGAAATAAGGTCTGAATTAAGGCAACAATTTGTGACTGCTCCATCAAAACAAGTGACCTTCAGCACAATTCTTGAACAACACACACCTCGTTAGCGTCCTTGAAGTATTACTAAGACTGAGTTTAAGATAAATGTGGGAGGAGGAAACCTACCTGAAAAGTCTTGAAAAATAAAAAAAATATCATCACAATAACTGTTTTGATGACCAGATTTGGTGTGCATATCTCCCTGAGGTTCTGAGACATATTAAGTTTCTCTCAAATTGATTCTTCAAAGAAAACGCTGGTACAAATTCTTGACTGCCATAGCATACATTTGTGATAAAACAGGTAATTAGCCCACATGGCTAAGGTCACTTCAGTGGAGTGCAAGACAGTAATGCTGTCGTTAATCAGACAGTGGGCAAAAGAGTTAGGACAACATTCAAAGTGTACAACCTATTTCTTTTGAGCTTCCTGTTCCTTTTTGTTACAACCTAAGGAATATCCCCATGTTGCAGAGGGTTCTCCAGACCAATATTGCAATGCCAGTGCCCTCATCTATGGTACTCAACACTTCTGTTGTTCCCTCAGTAACAACAAGAGGTGGAAAGAGGTATGCAAAACTCTAGCTGCATGTTATGCCTTTATAGAACATGGAGCTTTGCTGTAACATATCCTCATGGGAATCTAAATCAGCCAAACAGACTGACTGTATATGTTTTCATTTTTTTTCATAAATATTCATATACTTTACCCATAGTATATGGAAGGGCTGGGGGAGGAGAGTGCCACAGCTCTAGACAGAAAGCAGACAATTCCTTTTATCCAGTCATGTTGTTTTCCGGTTCCAAAATAAGCATGAAGGGGAGTAAAACATACCTCACTTTTCCTGCACTTTATTTAGGAGCTGTGGTACTAAAATAATGGATAACTATAGGAATTTAAAAGAAAGCAGAGCATGTGTTTCCCCTGAACAGCACACAGCAGTATTTGAGGTAAACACAGTGCAATAGGAAAAAACCAACTTCTTGGCATGGGGTGTTGTTATGTTCATATACATGTTTTAAAATGTGGGCCATTCTGCTATCTGATTTGCAGTGAGAGAAGCTTCATCTGTCAGATAAATTCCTCCCCACTAGGTCCTGCCAGATAATTCTCCTGGGTACGTCACACACAACAGTCGCCTGAAGTTGTTTTAAGTATAAATGCTTGTGTGAGCCCCCTCCAACACACTGAGGTGTTAAGCACTAGTCCAAATTTTTCTCAGTAAAGGGAATAATTTATTAAGGAAATTCACCACTATTAAGGAAAGCTGCCTCTTAGAGGAAATCATCAAATAGGAGAAAGCCACATGTTCAGCCACCCCTGCTGCTCTGCATGTGTATGGATGAACTTGAGTGCATGTCTGGACAGACAGGGAAGTGCCATTGAGGTTAGAAATTCATATGCAGCCTTGATGCTCAGGCAGGCAATTTGCTACCATACCTGAAAAAAACAAAGAGAGGAAAAGACAGGGAGGAAAACTTTGTCCCTCCCAGGATCAGCAGGAAAGACTTCAATGGAAAATGTGGGCCTGCCCGGTTTTAATCCTGCTGAGGCTGGAAGGATGTATGCACGCACCGTGGCCCTTCACTGCAGAGAGCTTCTCAAGTGCTTCATCTCACCTGGCAGAGCTCAGCCCTCTGAAGAAGAATTAAGATCTTACCAACTCCTCCTTTCCTTTCTTTCCCTGGAACATCACTGCCTGCCTGCCTACTCCTCAGCATTGTTGTCAAAGGATCATCAGGAAGCTGGGTGCTTCTGATGTACAGATATGCTGGGAATTTTATGTGTTAAGAGGGTTCCTCTTGGTACTGCTATAAGAGGGCACTGAAACAAGCCACATATAATTCAGACCGGTGCCATCTGCTACTTGAGGTACAGAAACATCAGCCCATGCTGCTCTTGCTTACAGAGTCAAGAGAAACTAAGTACATAGAGGTTACACACTATTAAATCCAAAGATGATTTCAGTTACTACCAGACAACTTTTGGTTGTCTCAGAAACAGTGAGCTCAGTGTTACTGTGCAAAGCTACCTGACAGCTTATTTCATGCTTCACTACAAACCTAAATGCCCATTGTTTGTTCTTCATTACCACGGAGCTCCCGAGCTCTGTAGTTTCATCTTAATTATCTCCCTCAAAGTGATCATATGTGTTTTTCTGGAAGACTTGTCTTTGGCTCTCTCCAGGTTATCTTCTTCTCTTGCCCAGAAGGAGAATGCAACACACAGGAACCTCACCTGCATGACAAAAACCACCTCTCAGCAGAAAGGGCACAGCAGTGGACGGAGGGCCTGTCCATCCTCCAGGCTCAGCTGACAGGCTGCACAGAAGTTATGCCAGACAGCAAGTTTCAGTTGCTTTCACTTCTAACAAGTAGGTGCCAGGGTTACACCAGCTCTGGGGGCAATTGTGCAGAGGGGGAGGAGAGAGCCCCACAGCAGCAGCAGCAGCCCCCTGGGGTGCACCTTTCCCTGTGGCTGCTCTGCAAGCACCGACTTGTTTTACCTGGGACTTCTCTAGTCTGTGGGAGATTTGCCAGAATTCAGCTAAATTCTCTTTAGAAGGAGAAAAGCTCTTTTGAAAATTTTCATTTAAAGCAAAGCACTCAGACGCTGGAGACTAAGCAGACAGCTTAAAACTGAAAATGGTAAAGAAGTACAGCTATTTTTAAACACAGAGATTTGCCAGTTTTGTCCTGTTGATAAGAATCTCCCCCCTCCAACTCTGAATACTGCTGCTTCCTGCAAGACAACAGTCTCTACGACATAAATCACAATAATGAAATCCAGATGAAAGCTGGTGTGTGCTGGTTTTGATTCATGTAACAGGATAATGGCAACATGTTTGAACACACTGGCTCTAAGGCGACAGTCTCGTCTTGTCAGTGCCATGCTGGAGAACTCAGCTAACTGCCCTTATTCTCAAGAAAAGGATTTGTGCAATTTTTTTTCCCCCCCTTGATTTTTTTTCCTTCGTAGCTGCTGCAGAAGCTGGACTTTGAGCAATAATAGGTTGCTGCTTGCCCAGCTGGTGCCTATTAAAATGCATCCTATGCATGCGGGACCCTGCCCACCAGGGCAGGTAATTTAAAAGCAATGCTGAATCAGCATCTGTGGAGTGATCAAATCAGTTACCTCCTAAAACTGTTTCTGACCAGGAACCTGAGCACCCCTCTTGCTATTCACGCCCTGGCCGGGGCACAGCACTCGCAAGTCTACAGAGAAATCCCAATCCCTAATCGGGCTCCAGCCCAGGGCACCTCATGCATCCCGCAAATGGCTTGGCACTGAGCAGCAACCCCTTGCTGCTGCCCTTGTCCATGAAGAATGGAGCAGAGAAACCTCTGGGATGGCCCAGTGACCCACAAAAACCAGCTGGGATCTGACGAGGGAGCGCTTAGACCCAACGTTATCCTTCTCTGCCTTCTCTCTGCTTAGCATTTACACTTCTCTTTTCTGTTTTACGCCACGTTGTTGCACTTGAGTTGCCTGCCTAAACAAAGGTCCCAGGTGGAGGAGAATACACGACTGTCTGTCCAGGACAAGTCTGGTATTGCCTGTTGGAGCACTGTTCAACACTGATGCTCCAAATTTTGTGAAGGGTTTGCAAACAGTTCCCTAAAAGGAGCACAGCTTTTTTTTTTTTTTTTTTTTTTTTTGTCCAAACATACTTTCTTATACATAATATTATTCCCTACCAGGCAAACACTCAGTACTCTCAGAGCTGTCAGACACAAGAGCAAGGCACTGGGAACTACCACACTGTCTCTCTCATACTGTAATCTCCAATGTTTCTAACTTCTGTCATCCACAACCGTCTGTCTTGTTTCTCACAGCTTATTTGCACGAAACACACTTCAGTATTCAGCAATATTCCTTCCTGGGCTCTGTTTACGTTCTCTGTATACAAATCTCTGTATGTATATTTTAGTTTGGTGATGGGAATTGCACAAGACTAATGAAAACCTTGATATATGGTAGCTGACAGATGCCTGGACAGCATGATGAACGCTTCAGCCCAAGTCTGTACTCTGCACGCTTTTTGCATGGCTGGCAGTTTTGAACTTGGAGCTCAGCTTGTGTGTTATTCACAAGCATTTTCAAGCAGCTGCTTTCTCATAGGAAAGCTGTATATATAGTTTCATAAATATGAGAGGAGAGAGGATGCCTGAAATGGCTGGAAACACTGGCAGGATGAAATATTGTTGAAAATAAATCCTACTTTGGCACACAACCAGTAAAAGATGATCTAGCCTTGGATGCTTCTACCTCCTGCTTACGAAGGATAAAACCAGAATAAAACAGGTGAATAAAATGAAAGATATATGACAGGCGCTCTTCAGCTGTCGGAACTGTGTACCCCTGATAAATCTACTTTACTGAGACCAGACAGAAGACTGATACCTGAAACAGACTTTTGGTAGGTCAGTGGTAACTTCTCAGCCAAACAAGAAGTGAAAAGAAGTCAATGACTGTGCAATGCCTGGCTACCTTAACGAACACCATAGATGACCAGCTACATACCTATTAACTGCCAGTAACCTAATTCATATACTTATTGCTGAAGATGCATAAATATGGGAAATCCTGATAGAGCAGTGGCTTAAAACTGTGATGGAAAATGGGACAGACTGCTTATTATAATTAAAAGATAGACTAAAATAAGATGTTTCTGTTGTTAGAAAGTTATTAACATTCAAGGATCTTAAACTGAAATATTTCAAATTTCACAAAGCAAATAATCTCAAAACTGCCTCTTTGAAATTAAGTACATGAAAGGATGCCAGTTTATTTATACTGTTAACACACTGGAATTACTCTCAATTAATACAGTGTGTCATTGTTACAAAATAGCTGTTTATTGGAGTCTCAGACAAATATAGCATCAAATGCATAGAGCACAGGGTTTAAATATTATTATCTACCACCACTGCAATACTCTGCTCCCTGAGACTTTTGGGTACAAGGTCGGCAGCTGATAAAAAAGCAGTCTGGAGATACTTAATTTACAGCTACGGAAGTGGCTCGAAGAATAGGGTGACAGCACCAAAGGACATTGGCAGTAGTGGAGTCCTCCTGACCTTGATGCTCCTTGTGAAAGACAGAATGGGGGAGTGAGAGACCAAATGCATTACGTCATCATGCAGGGCTTTTGTTAGACCAAATGGCCAGGACAGCAAGCAGTTCTAATTTTAAAATCACACTGGAGGACTAATATTTAATAACGCAGCCCGGCTGTGCTTGATGCTAGTGCAGTACCTAGCAAATGCAGACTGACAGACAGTACTGCAGACTTCTGTGACATGCTTTTTTTATTAGTGGTGTAGAGATGTCAATTTATTTTTATATAATTAAAACAATACACTGAAATTATAGTTCACTATCCAAACCTAGTTCCACATCTATCCCATGGGCACAGATAGATGGATATTTCAGGGATGTTATTACAGAAGGATCACTCAAAATCAAGGTACAACTCATCTGGGCTTTTCTTCTTTTGCTGCAAGTTTTGCAGTGCACAGTGACCAGCTGACATGCTTCTGTGTTTCTGTGTTACCAACAAAAGCAGGACTGCGGAGTCAGCCTCATGGCTGTTGACAGTGAGTTTTCTACTTCTGCACAGAAGGAGCTTCTGCTGGAAAGAATGCAGGGAGACTAGGGAAACATTGATGATTCTGTACGTTTCCTAGTCAACATGATATTCTAGGAAAGAAATTACTGCTCTGTCTGGTAGATAAAGTTCCTATTCTAGAGAGATTTAAGGATCTGAAAGAATTCCTGTTTTAGTAGTATCAGCCAGGAAGACATCTGTTAACCGTGACATGATGCTTCCCTCCTCCCCCCCCCCAGAATGAAATTTTTCTACCTCTTACTATTTATATTGTGGTAGACATTACAGACTCTCCTACAAAGACAACACAAAATTAAATAATATCTCCAGTGAACACCAGAGTTTAAATACAACTAATACAATTAATAGAAGCTGTAGAGTTTGTGTTGGGAAATGAAGAATACTTTTAGAATTGTCCCCGACAGGCAATTTGTGGGTATTACTTTTAGAAATGCGACAGGGAAGTGTATATGTTTTCTAGCCAGGAATTTCACTACAAAAAAAAAAAAAAGACCAAACTGTAAGCACTTCTTCTTCCCCACAGCTGTCTTCAAGGAGAAAGCTCAGCTCCTCCTTTAAAACAGCTGAGGACTTGCAGTTAAAGCTCATCTGCAAGTCAGGACTAATTTAAATTAAAAGACTATAAAGTCAATATCAGTGATGATAAACTCGGACTCCACAAAAATGGAGCACATCGAGTGCCAGTTGCACAAATTTCTGAGTAAAATCCACATTGGACCACACATTTTGTCCATCTTATGCCTCAGGATAAAGCCTGCAGTGTTTACTGATGCAGCATTCACACAGACCTCAACAGAGCTTTCCCAGTGGAGAAATCCTGGCCTGCAAAGCACGAGCCAGGCTCAGGGGAGTAATATCAGTGCGCGTAGCTCTATCCCGCAGTCAGTGCCGCAGCCCAGCATCCACTCCTCTGGCACACCTTCCCCCCATTAATTGCTCTGACATCCATAAGGAGGGGTGAGGGGAGTAGCTACAAGCTTGCAGCTGTCAAGCATTAATGCTAAATCCTGGCCAAGTAACAAAACTTTAATTACAAGCTGCAGCTCTCCACACACAACAAAATGTTGGGTGCTGACATCAGAGACGCCCTCAGCTGCTCTGGGCCTTGAGAGAGGCAGTAATTACAGCTGTGTTCCGCTCAGGACCAGCGGCTGCTCTCGGTCTCTGTTCAGCAGCTCTACAGCTCTGCGGTCATTTGGCTGAGGTCTGTCACTACCACAATGGCTGTGCACGGTCAGGAAAAAACCACAGGCTTCTCGATGGCCCCAGACTGCAATTTGCTTTAATTGCAGCATACGCCGATTTTTATATTTGAGGAAGAAAATGATTTGAAATTGCTGCTAACACTGATGTGAACTGCAGGGGGAGGGAATGCCAGTTGAGTCAGGAAAGTCTAAAATGGATGTGAGTAAAGTCTCCTACGTAGCCAATATGGCCTTATATTCGCCAGCTCTACGCACAAGTCCTCCTTGCCTGAGTTGAAAAATCCTATTTACCTGCAAGCTCCCAGGACACTCCCGCACTACCTTTTCTCCCTTTTCTTGGCTGAAGGAAACACCAGCTGCTAGGGAAATCTTTCAGGTCAACACTGAGGAACAACTACCCACTTTTTATCTTCTTGCAAAGCTCCTATGTGGCATCACAGCTACACTGCTTTAACCACAGGCAGGTGAAATCCTAGAACAAGAGAGCTCTTGGCACATTCCTGTGATTCCCACTAACAAAAGAAACACCTCACTTAATGTCCTTCGGCCCTTTTTTAGATTAGTGCCTGCCTTCAGAGAAGGAGATGGGAGTGCATGGACCCTCAGGTAGTGCTGAAGAAGTGATGTTTGGAAGGCAAATTCAGGAAACGCCCCCTCCCCAGAATGTCAAATAAGACATTTTTCCAGACACAGCAGTAATTAACACCTAGAGAAAAAGAAAAAGCAGGGAGATCTCTGTCAGTGCAGATATATTCTAGATAAATGATGACATTGATTTTAACAATTGCCCTTGAAGTCCATTTTTCACCTTTAAAGTATTTAATCATACCTCTGTCACAATGAAAATTCCCTGTTAGGTCCATTTTGCAATAAAAAAACGAATATAGACCTCAAAATGCTGTAGTCAACCAGCAAATGGAGAAGAAGGGTATTGAACAACCACTTCTGGGTGGAGACCTCCCCTGCAGGATGCTATCCTGGCTGCCCTATTTTGACTCGCCCAACCACCTCTATCACGACACCAAGCTGAAAAGGGATCAAAGATCCCAGGTGATCCTACAGGACTCATACTGCCTGGTGCACATTAGCAGCTTGAGGAAGGTCAGAAACACAACCATGACTGCTAGAGTTATGTTCACTTTGGATGTTGGCTAACAATGTCTTTCTCTTTGAGGGTAGACAGTTCCCTGTGTATGACAGTAACCACATCAAAACCTGACAAATATTTTCCCACACAGATATAGCTGCCATAAAAGGTTGTCACTTTGTGGGCTGCCAGGCAAAAAATAACTTGCCAACCCTTAAAGGAAAACTGGCTGAAAGTAAGCAGAGGACATTCTGGACTTCCCATTTGAAAATCTAGCATAAACACAACCTTGGAGCTCAATTAAGCCTCTGTGTACAACAGGCTGAACACTCCTGCTAGCACAGCGATAATCTTCAATCTACATGAAACACTTAAAATTCATTTTGAAGAAGGAGCACTCAAGAGCAAAATTACCCCCAGGGTGGAGGGTAGATGAGAACACAGAAAGACTGTATCTTTACATACATTAGTAGTTTTTAAAATAATATCTTCTGCTCCAAGTTAAGCAAGAACATGGACAACACTTTAGATGTCGGTGTTTCAAACCAAATTTGTATGTAGATAAGAGTACTAGGTCAGTGCTTCAGGGAAAAAAACAAGAATCTTTTCTCTACTGCCTACTACTACTCTGGATAATCCAGACAGATACATGCTCACATGTGTATGACTGCACTGCATCTTGCAGCAGTCCTGCCAAAATAGCACACCAAAGTCTACAGGTGTGGTACAACCAAGAAAAGGCTACGGAAGTGTCTCACCACAGAAAACACTGAGGTAGAGCACAGAGCAAGGAACAGTTATGTGTCTGTATCGTTAAGGGTTTGAATATAGTGAGAAATATACAGGCTCTACTCGTAACTGCTGGAATTAAAGGAAGGACTATCCCATGGTGAAATTAATACCTGGGAAAAAAAGCTGTTTGGAGGAGTGAATGATAAGCATCAAAACACAGCGCAGCTTCATGACTTCAGAGAAACCCCAATGGGCATCCTCCTATTTTGTAATAGAAGCCAATTCGAGGAAGTATAAATGTTCCTCTGAATGTGAGAGAATGAATGCATTGTTTGAACAAGCCTTTCATCTAAAGCGTTTATGAAATACAGTGGTAATAAAAGCGTTTACTTTTGTAATACCTCCACGAGTTTGTTTTAACATGTCCTGGTAAGTAACTGTCATTTAGAACAAAGCATTCCAAACAGCTGCTATTACTGGATTAAAAATAATAATAATCTTAAAATACAGCCAAATGCAACCTCAACCTTCAAAGTTTTGTTACCAAAATTTATCTGTGCTACACTAAATCACTTACCATATAGGAAGGAAATATTAAAACCCGCTTATGTTTGCCACATGGCCATTGGGGATCATCTAAAAGATTTGGGTCATATTCAACAAAGTCTCCCAGGTCACTACCTATAAAACAACAGTAAACATAAGAAAGGAATTCATTACATCAAGAAATCTCTAGACTTAACAGAAGTGGTAAACAAGTTTACAGATATTGCACAATACTGTCTTTGTTCAAGATTTTTGACAGAGATGAAAAATTGCTCTAAATCCTGAAAACTCTAAATATTTCTATACTAATGTAATTTGCAAAGATGTAGAGGGCGTGCAGCTTTTGAATTACCTGGTAAATGTGAACTTAGGCCTTAGAGAACTGCAAAATTATATAAAGCTCCACCATGACTTTTATTCCTGGCAACAAGTTTTCATCTGTTTATGCAAATGTCTTGATTTGTTTCATTTATCATGCCAAAATATCTTAAGCATATAGTGCTTTGGCTTATGTTTTGTGTCCAGTTTTGTAAACACAACCCATTCCAGCCTAATAAAGGTCACAAGTGGAATTTACACCTTCAACTTATGACTACTGTGTTGCCACTGTAAATTTTCCATAGCAAAGGAAGGTAACAATAAGCCTGATGCAGGAGGAACAAACGATAGTGATGACAGGAGGAGGCACACTGAGTGCCATCAGGGGCTGTCAATACGACCAACACACTTGCTTACTTAACTTTCCATCACCCATAAGCAAGCTTTGCTAAACAAATACGGAATGAACTGTGTTCCACCCACAACATGAGACTATATTTTGCTTAATTTAAGCTAAAACTGGTACTAAGACACGTGCCCATCCTTCACAATAACTGCCTATCATCAGTGTACCCACAGATATTAAAACAAGCTTCTTGAGAAGTTACCTGCATCAATGCTCCCCTGGGTGCTGTTAGCTCTTGCCAAAGAAAGGCTACGATGGCTTGCATTGCGAAATTGGGAGAAAGATGAGGTGGAATCTATCGTGTTTCTCCGAGTTCCCAGAGCATTGGTGGGAAATAGGAACTGTGTATAAGAAACCGTCTAAAAAAAAGTCAGAATGGACAGACAGTTACTTTCAGCCCAGCTCGGCCACAGTGGGATGCCTTTGGTGCATTCCAATTGGAAGAAAGAGAAGCCAAATTAATGGAGGATTTTCTGGATTTAGTAGTTAGGCACAGATGAATAAACACCAGTCACCTACATTTGCTTCAGTGCAGTCAGTTTATCCACGCAAAAAAATGCTTTTGCAAAGGCATTAATTCTTCAGCAAAACAAACACACACACACAAGCTCTAATACACTGGATTTACAAAATCCTACTCAAGGGTCAGATTTAAAAATATGTCAGTTTGGTCAGGTTTTTTTTCAGTGGGCCTTCTCTGTAGCAGATTTCATCAGCTTCTTTACTAACTATCATCATCTATATGGGTCCCTCAGCACACAGCTGCCAGAGGCAGACCACTTGAAGGTTGTTAACTTAAGCACTTTCTCTGCTATGTTTCTTCTTTAGGACTTCATCTAGTAGAATGTTATCGGTGTAACAAGTGAGCTCTAATTCACAGTAATGGTTGTAGCAAATCATTTACTATCCCCAAACATGGACTAAGTGTGAATGAGTGACTTGTTACAAAATTATTTTTAGAGTGCACTGATTCTCTGCTTGTACCCTTGGCCAGGAATAGGCTATGCCTTGCTTCTTGTCCTCTTATTTTCCAAAAATAACATTGTATTGAAGAAAAAAAATGAGTCTCAGACTCTAGACTGGTTTATGAGGAGGTCAGAACAGGTATCAAATAAAACGTGAGCTTTCGTTTATTTATAAGCAGACAGACTGCCCTCAAGAATTTACAGCCTGTGGTCTGGCCTGACACCTGGTTAGGTGAGCACACCATGTGTAGCAGCATTGACCTAGGACCTTTAAATGCATATATGACAGCAGACTGGGTAAACTGAACTGTAGAAAGTAAATCAGGCTTTCAGCAAGAAATGTTTTCTTTTATGATTAAAACTGTCTCTCCACTACATATTTCTTCAAAATGGATCACTTCCCTAAAGATTCATAATTGCTTATTCTATTCAAGTGAATGAACTCTTGGATTTTGAAAGACTCATCAGATTTGTGCCAATTGAAAGCAAACAGAATTACAGCTTACTACTCTTACCAGAAATTATTTTCAAACTCCTGACAATATACTTTGCAGTGATACCTCCTGCTAGAGCCAGGGGAAGGCTGTGTAATTCAGTAATGCTTTGGAGATTTAGATGTTGCCAGAGGCACATTTCTTCAAGGATGCAGAGTTGTTTGCATTGACAGCTTGGGTAGTCCTCATGAATTTTTGCTAAGCTTATTTACAGTTGCACATACTGCACTTTAACTACTGTGTTACACTGCTAGTTATAATTTATATTTCTGCTCATTATTAGTTAAGCCATTTTTTCCCTTATAACATAAAATTAAAGGGAGTAGGAACTGAAGCATCCCCACCTTCCCATCTGCTCCAAGCTCCACACCTTCAAGACCAATTATCTCTTTCAGACACACTCCAGTAGAATGGCACTGGCGTCCACCATCCAGCTTCATATCCCTGGGAAACAGAAACAAGAGCAGAAATACCTCTTAATACACACGCCTGGTTCACCTTCCACAACCCAGTGCTGAAATAAGGTACAGCATTAATCCAAACACGCCAACGCAAAGCACAGACCAGACAACTTTTCCTATAAAAGCACTTGTGTTGTCTAAAACATATTATAGAGAAAACCCCCACTTTGTTCCAGGTTGCAGCTCATACCCCACCTATGGTGCAGAGCAAGGTTCCCCATCATTAGGCACCTCTGAGAGAACCTGTCACTGGGAAGGAACTGGAAGTCATAAACACTTCAAGTGAGATACAACAATCCAGCTTGAACATTTAACTGAACATTTAACTGCCATGTATCCAGCAGACAGATGCTCCCAGACCACATACCTCACTCCCCTACACGAGACAAAGGTAATTTCCTGTGAAAGCCTCCATGAAAGCCTCCGGGAGGGATTCCTGCTCCTCCAAGCGCAGGAGAGTGCCCAAAACCCTCCTGGTGGAGGCTGTCAGGAGAAACCCGCTTTTCCATCACCCTGGGATGGAAACTTGGGGATCTACTTTGAAGGGACGAACCCACCCAGCATCTTACACTTGAACATAAATAAGGTGCCTGAGACAAGCAGGCTGTATCCCATACTTTAGTCTCATGATTAAAATGCGAGCTGAGGTAAAAAAGACTGAGCAAATTTGTGCTCCACAAATGGCAGCTGCATACAACTCCAGACTATTTATCTTGCAATATTTTCCTGGCTGATTTCCGCTGAGGTCCAACTATGTGCTTAAAAATCTGTGCGGGAGAGCTGAGGCAGGGAGAAATCCTGCAGGCTCTTCATCCAGTTGCAGGGCTGGGCTATCTCCTGCTGTGTCTCTACACACCGTCTTTCCTTGTCTTTCCAACCTACCACACATTTTACTTCTCTGAAACATGGCAATCCTGAGTCCCCAGTAAATCACGTACCCTACTGCTGGAAAAATCCAACACGTCTGTGTGCTGGAAAACATGCTTCAGGAACAAAGGAAAAAACTGTATCAAGTTACTAATCCCAACACAGTTTCTTCATTAGAGTTTACTTAGCATAGTGTCATATTATCATTCTCGTTTCCTGATATCATGTTACTGAGGGGCTGGACAAATAATTATATAAAAATAACCCTCTGTGAGAGTCACAGTATTAGCCTCTCTGTTCTTGCTCAGAAAGTGCTTAAGAGAACTATTTCTCATAGAGATAAATGCCAAATAGTAACCATTTCAGCAGGTGTTATCTGTGAAACAAATGCACAACCTGAAGAAGCCCCTGAACCCAAAAATGAAAACAAGTATCTGAATAACCTGAAAGCAGAACAGTTTAGTTTCCTTCCATTCAAGACCTTACAGATACAGAGCAAGAAATAATGCTGTTACAACTTTGAAAACAAGTCACAGAGAAATTTTTCCATGCAATTATAGATAACTTTGTAATTCATCAAATGGAAATCCATCAACCTTCGAAGAGTCAGCACAACAGCTTTAAAAATTAAAGAGCAGTTCTGGGGACTGAAAAGAAATCAGTGCTCTGGAAGCAAGGAGCAGGGTCAGCTGACATGTGCGAGCACACATGGGGATCATTCCTCGACATCAGCTGAAGATAGATGGACACTAATGCCTCCATTTCTGTATACTTCTGATGTTTCTAAAGAAGACTCTCCTTTCAGGACCCTGTGAACAACATTGCAGTCATTCTCCCTCATCCTAGGTGTTTTGCAAAGGTTACTTGGGGTCTTCCCCTCCTCCACATATGCTCTATATTTCTAGGTAGTATATGATTGCTTGTTTATAAAATGGAGTAATAAAATATCACTCTTTGGAGAGAAATGTGTCCATAAAACAGAGAATTAAACTTCCTCTCCTGAGGAAAATCAGCACCAAACAATGTGCAGTTTCTTATGAGCACGAAAATGGAAAGGCTCGTCCTGGCTTATACGCATCCTTCTCTCACTCATAAAAGACTTCGGTGAACATCTAATAAGGAATTCCTATGCTATTTTACTGTATCCTTTTTGAGCTCCCTATCATGTGATCAACAGCAAGCTAGCCAAGTTTTTGCAGGACAGGCCTTGATTTTTTTTCTCCCTCCTATTAAAGACAAAAGAGTTCACGGAACCCTCAGCAAAGCTCTTGCTGGGAGAGCAGCCCCAGAGTTGCCACCCTGCTGTTGGGTAGAGCTCCAGCACAACTGCTTCCTCCCCACACCCCCAAAATCCCAAGAGCAACAGCTAGGAAAGGCCTGGGGGATGACTTCACCTAGCCCTCTCCAAATGGCAAGTCGTGCCTAGGGATGAGTTGGGACGGTTGTTTGGATACAGCCACCACACCAGTGTGGCCAAACACCGCCACCAAGTTCTTCAGGACACATGCACTCGCATGGCACCACAGCTGAGGGGCCCCGAAAGGGAGGAGCATACTGAAGACAGGTACTTCGTATAAAAACCAGCCAAGCTTTCACTGTGTTTAAGTTATTTAGATTACTGATGGCACTGAGGAATTGCACAAACCAAAATACAGGAGTAAACGGTGCTTAGAAAATGTAGAGTAGGAAAGATGGTCCTTGCCAAAGAGGTTTTAAAGGGAAGAAAACTTCCTTTCTCCTCTTCCTCAGTTTTGATTTTTCTGTTTTATTTCCAAAAGTGCTTTTTAAGAAACTTTTCAAGGGATTCAAGCAGACACAGAAAAGCAAAAATAAATCATGGGAACTTTTACTACCTTCACTTTGAGCAGGGAAAGCTTGAGGAAATGAGAGGATTGGGGATAACATTTCTTTAGGAGGCAAAAAACTAGATCCCAGTTGCTGTCAAAGTTCAGGAGTTACTCTGATTTACATCAATGTCAAGCTCTAGATATTCTCTTCATGCATACCATTTCCAGAAAGCTGAGCAGTGTTATAAATTACACTTGAAATTAAGCATATTATTTTAGTTATTCAGGACTGCAGAATGTTGAGGAATACATCGGGTCCAGGTAGCTGAGACTGAGATGCAGATTGAAATGCAGACTGACTCCAGATGGGAGCCCAAGACAAGAGGCCATGAACAGCCAACCTTTGTGACAACAAAGGGCATGAAGATGGGTGATGCCAGGTAAGTGAGTGGACACTGAGAGACACAGCAGGAGCCGGGAATTGCCGACCTTTTGGAAAACAAAGGAGATGAAGACAGTGAGGTGGATGGACACAGAGAAGGGGGAAGGAGCTGAAGAGGAGGTAGAGTGAGACTTTTGCTCAGGGAGACTCTGAGGTTCCTTTGCTGGGGGTGCTCCTCGGTGGCACCAGCTTGAGCTTTCTGTGTTACTGAGCCATGAGTAAATGGCTTTATGGAACGAGACATCTCAGGCTCTGCTAAGGGAAATCTGGGGTTGATCTGGTAGGGAACTGTGGTCTGACTGAGTGTGCATGTGGTGAGTTTAGGGAGTGAAGTGGGACACCTGTCGGCTCACTGGAGCTGCCCGTTGTGAAGGGGCTTCAGTCCCAGCAATTAAAGTCTCTGGACTTGGTAGTGTGACTGACGTAGAGTCTCATAAGTGGTCAGACTGGGTACTTTCCTTAAAAAGGAAAAAACGAAAAGTTTCTCACTCTAACAGAGTTCAAAGATTTTCTTGGAAGAACACCAGGTGACTTGGGATCCCAGATTTGTTGTCGGATGGTGAAAAGTTTTACTGAGCAAATAGATAAGGATCAAAACAAGAAATCTCATCATGTCTTTTATTAGCCAGGCCAAGATTAACAGAATATAAATTGGATGCTGTTACCTTTGGAAGTATAACATTTCTTTTATGAACCAAATGTTATGCTTTGACGTGATCTACAAAGTCCCATGCAAGACTCCTGCTGGGCACTTGCTCTTTAAATGACAGTAACAGTTGAGCACTCTAACCCGTGAATAATTTAGGAGTCCATGAAATATTAAATAGATTTCTAGATACATGAGAAAAAGCCTTCTGCTTACTGAAAAAAGGAATCTGATAATTGTTATTTAGAGATGTCAGCCTTCTGTACCTATATTTTATGCTTAGTGATTCCTGACTCTTAAGATTTATTCTAAAAGCAAAAGCAGTTCAGGAGACACCAAGAAAAGATGCTGTTCTCATCCGTCACTGTAAATAATTTCTACTTATCATCTCTGTTTACAAGGACAAGGGAAATGACAGCTCTGGAAAAGATGCACTGCCAGTCTAACCAGCAGCAGATTTCCCACTGCCTGAAACTGCCTGCTATAATTGATCAAGAGCTTTCAGAGCCCTAATGCCATTAGTGGTGCCAGAACAACTCCAGCTGCAATTTAGAGGGTGGGGGTGTAGAAAAGTTCCTGGAAAGATGGTCATAATGGGCCAGTTTCCTTTTTCTCTCTCCAAAGATATTTAGATGTCAGCACACCTCTTTTCCTGATGTTTTTCCCAACACAGAGTAAAAGTATTAGGAAGATTCATTGATTAACTTCAATTAAAGGGAACAGGGCAATTCAAAAGAATGAGCAATGGTGGTTCTATAAAATTCATACATGAGAAGATTAGTTTTGAAATGTCCCATTGAGGGAAAAAAGTCCTCAGATATGTGTGTCTTTCTGTAAAGCTAATACATGCTTGGTTTTTTTTTTTTGTTCAATTCGTGAGAAGGCTAAAAGAATGACAGGACTAGAGAATGATAAATGCTCAGGAAAAGAACTAAAGATTGATGACTTAATCAAAACTGCCTCACATACAAAATCTGTTGGGGAAGAACAGCAAGGAACTTGGTAACAAATCTGAAGGACATAACAGAGTATGTCTGTCTGCTGTCTGCTTATTGCTACTATCCATATGGCAATTTAGATGCTCTGATTTCTCCTGTAAATATTGCCCTGTTTTCCACACTCACTGACCTGCCAAATAGCTGATGGCAGGGGTGTGTCAGGGGTGCAAGACAACCTCACCTAAATGTTTATTTTTTCTGCCTCATTTTGCATATGACCTTCGTACCCAGTTTAACACTAAA